AATATGTACAAAACTGTGCCGCCCGGATACTCACACAAACACGCAAATCAGAGCACATCACCCCCATCCTTCACTCACTCCACTGGCTCCCTGTAACTCACCGGATCAACTACAAAGTCCTCATAATGGTCGTCAACGCCATTAACCACACTGGCCCCATATAGCTACAGGAACTGCTAACCAGAACATATTCACATACCTCACGCACACTCAGGTCAGACAGCTCCAATCTCCTGGCTGTTCTGCGGACAAAACTGGTCACCATGGGAAACCGTGCTTTCTCCTCCCTGGGTCCACGTCTGTGGAATCAGCTTCCAGAGAACATACGGATCACAGCATCACTCTCAGTTTTTAGGAAATGCCTCAAGACCCACCTGTTCCACACCGCATTTTACTGACTGTCATTGACTTTATTTATTTATTTATTTTTAAACCTTTTATGCTTTTAACCTTTTATTTTAATTGTTTATATTGCCATATTTTATCCAATATGCTCCTTTAGATATCTTTTTACTTATTTTTCCTTATAGCTTTGTGAAGCACCTTGAGATGACGTTTGTCTTTTAAAGTATGCTATATAAATCAAATGTATTATTATTATAGTTGAGTGCTGTAGGCCAATATATAAATAAATAGAGTGGTGTATGAATGAATCCCAAAACCAGGACATTTGTTTGTATTTTACCGCTTCTGATTCCCTCGTCTCGAAGACTAACAAAATATTTGTGGTTTACAAAAGCTGAAGAGATTCTCCCGTTTTGTTCTGCGACATGAAAATAAAAACTCTATTTGTGAATGTCTTAAAAACAGCCGTTGCTAACAAAGGACTAAATGAGACGGAACATCATCATGTCAAACATTAGCCACATTTAGCTAAGCGGAGGTAAAGTGAAGTCATACAACTATACGACTTCGGGGTTGGCAAAACGATATCATCCCGTCTCTCTCTAGAAACAAAGCATGTGTCCTAAATCATACTTAAAATGAAAATACTCAGCAGGAATTCAGAAGTGACAGAACAATACACACACACACACACACACACACACACACACACACACACACACACACACACACACACACACACACACACACACACACACACACACACACAGAAAGATCACATAAATTTAAAGAAATGCATTTTTATTTTAGGTGCTCACATTACTGAAAACTGTAATAAAAACAACAAGAACAGAGGAAGTATTTTATTGTGACCTTATAAAGCCAAGGTAGCGGCAGCCAAACTGGCTGGAGCTTTTCATTATATGAATTGAATGATCTAATAGAGACAAATTCCTAAATGGTACTTGTTGCCAAACTGGCCAAATCATTGTATGGGTGCCTCTTTTTACTGCAAAACCTTTCCTGAAATGATGCAGATGAAACAAAGAAGGCTTCAGCAGAGTGAGTGCTGTGTTTCCTCTCTTTTTTTTCATTTTAAGGGAGCTGCCACTGAGCCAGAGCGGACTGTGTCAGAAGCACCCAGTAAAACAGCAGCTGGCCACGGTGAGTGGTGTCTGTTTATGACTCATTTCTACCTGCCATCAGGCGGCGGGGAGAAGTAGGAATTGAAGAGAGAGAGCCCAGTGGTAACAAGGGAAGAATTGTGTGAAGACACAAGACAGTGGCGTGCGGTTGTCAGGAAACCAAGGTACTAGTGAAGACTATTGGGAAATGGGCCATTCAGTGGCTGATATTGGCTGTTGTTGAGCACATGGGACACATGGGGCCCCTTTATGAGGTAGCTGCTGAAGTAAAGGAGGAGAAAGGAGGATTTTCAGATGCAAAGTGAAGACATTCTTAGATTATGGAAAAGTCAAATGATTGGAAATTATCTGGTTGTTTTCATTCAAATTAAGCAGGCTTGTGAATGGGGCTTCAGCATGACTGTATTTGGCTCCTGGAAAAAGTCGTTCACAGTAACATAAAGGCTTTTAGAAAAAAGGAAGATGTGTGGTGTCTGGAGCCTGGAGGGAAGCCTTTGTGTAAAAATGTAACTAAACCTTCAATTGCATTTGATTCGATAAATGAATTGTTTCACTTTGTCAACACTAAAAGGAAATTATAGGAATTTTGAAAGGTCTGCAAGTCATGTGTCCGTCTGAGAAACCATGAAGCAAAAAAAAAGAAGAAGATATTTCCATGCTCAAGAAGGAAAGGTTAGTTCTTGGTGAAACTTACGCCAATTCTCTATAACAGAGAGCTGGATATTTACTGTCATTGAATTTATTATCTTAAACACTTAACTGACCTGCTTGTCATAAAAACAAAGGATTTATTATTAATAATATTAAGTCCCTCAAAATTCAAAACTGTCCTTATATTAAAGAATCATACACTGTATTTATATAGACCCCCCAAACCAATAACTGTATTAACATGTTATATTAACACATAAACAGTGTTTTCATAAAGAAACAAAGATTTTTTTTTTTATTGTATTGAATGTTTCATATCAGCATCATAAGTCTTGTTTTACTGTATTTCTTGATGAGAATGTGAGAATGTCGCTGATTGGTCAGTGCCGCCTTAACCCAGCAGTGACATACATCCGTTTCCTTTTCACCGGAGCAAAGATGGCGGAATACGACCTCACCACCAAAATTGCCCATTTTTTGGACCGTCATCTCGTTTTTCCTCTGCTCGAGTTCCTTTCTGTCAAAGAGGTAAGAACTTTATTATCACTTAAACTTTCCGTTACATTTTTTTGTTATTTTACGAAACTATAAACGGCGTTTGAACGAGTTTTAAAGCCATGTGCGCCTAAGAGGTAGTCATGTTTTATCTTGCTGTGTAAAGAAGCCACATTTAACCGGGGTAAAGCCGGAAGTGCAGCTCTCTGCCTTCAAAATAAAAGCGGTAAAACACGTCACAGACAAAAACAGTAACAGTTGAGGAAAACAGAACACAATCAATTGGATAACGATGCTTTAGCAATTAGATGGAAGCGTGAGGTGTATTACAATTCAATAATACAGCACAAATAATGAATATAATATGTAATGTAAAAATAATATTTGTTTACGTTGGAAAAAAGTATCGGAAGTGCTTCATTGACTGTGATTAACTTTACAGTGGCGTCAACCACGCGCTATTTCAGATTCAGATGATTCTAGGAATGTGCCTTTTGTTAAACTCAGAGTTTAAGTTAATAGCATAGTACATACGTTGTACACAACTGTTTGGTGATTCATAACCATACACATGATCACTCTGAAACGTAGCTGTCTATGTTGTTTCCGCCCTGTAGGATCCTTATTTACAGTGAAATAAAACAGCCATAGCTGAGCCTTGGAAGCTGAAAAGAGTAGTTCATTTCCTATAACATCATAACATACTTATTAGGGCTTATCGCTTAACACTGTAAACATGTATTAACGCTATTTAGGGAAATATAAACAACTATTAGCGCCAGCAGACACTGCCTGTTTCACATTAGCGTTAGCCATCTAAGCTAACCTTTAGCTTTAAAGCTAACAATGTTGCTTACATTTGCATATGTGGCTAGCAGTGACTTCACACTAATGTTAGCCGGTATTCAATTTTTTGTAACTTTTATATTATAACAATATTGTACACAAACACCCCTCCTCACTTCTGTTTTTCTACTGTCCATGTTCATTAGATTTACAATGAGCAGGAGCTGCTTCATGGAAAACTGGACCTCCTCAGTGACACCAACATGGTGGACTTCGCCATGGATGTGTACAGAAGCCTTTTTTCTGAGAAGGACATACCCCCAAGTAAGTGTTTAGGCTTATTTAATACACACTCCACATCTGTATTTATCAACTAATAACACAAACACACAACCATATTAACATTGCTTCATAGAACAATTAAAGGGCTCTACACCAATCACTCTATTGAGAATTTATTTAGCAGTAAACATGTTTCCCAGTGTTTTCTGTACTTGAGTGCAGACTATGGTGATGCTGTAGCTAATAACGTTCTCTGTGTCAGCCCTAAAGGAGAAGAGGACAGAGGTGGTGGCCCAGCTGAAGCAGCTGCAGTCAGAGACGGAGCCCATTGTGAAAATGTTTGAGGACCCGGAGACAACAAGGCAGATGCAGTCCACCAGGTAAAGCCTGTTTTATATTTTAATCAAGACTAGTATCTTTTTTTTTATCTTTAGTTAATCAATATCCCAAAATAGCTTTTTAGTAAAGCCATGGCTCGTTCACACCAGATTCAAAGCCAATTTTTTTCGCACTTCATGATAGCATGTAAAGTCATTGCAAAGATGCACATTTGTGTCTGCCAACGCAAATGATTTGACAATCCATTAATTACGATGTTTCACCAACCAGTATCATAAGGTAGTTATTGAGCAATTGTTTGTATAGGTTTAACTCAATACAAACCAGTATCTAGATGGCGATAAGCCCTGCCAACTCTCTGGCGCGTCTAGTTTGAGTGGCGTGAGTTAAGAAATAATGCCGCGGTCAAACTCGTGCAAGTAACGGAGGCCACATTGCTCTTTGATTCGGAGTGAACGCACCATTAGTGATGTTGTAAATTCTATGTTATGGTCTTACATTTCGTGATTCTAAAACCTGTTATTTGAATTGCTAGACTGCATAGCAGAATTCTAGAGGGTTTTCATAAAGTCCATGGAACTGCATATTCAATGAAATATGTATTGAGTCTTTTCAGGGTTTTTGTGAGAAAAGGCAGATGCAAGACGTTGTGGTTAGCCTTATTAAGACTGTATGGTCGTCTACAGTGATTAAAATAGTGCGGTCACATTCGGTCTTCATCCTTTCTTTTATTTCTTGGCTAGAGTGTGTACAGTTAATCAAAAGCATTGGCCATTTTCAGCTCTTTTCAGTTTATACCATTTTGTTATTTAGTTTTAGTTTGGCTGTGGATATGTGTTTATTTAAGACACAGATTTGTAGGAAATGTTTTGTGAGATTTGAAGCCTTGTAAAAGCAACATTGACTTAACAAATGTCTATGTTATTGTTAGTTTGCTGTCAGGATACATAAAGGAACTAAACCTCCTTTTTGAATGAGGAATCATGTCTTAAGTTATGCATTTGTTTTTCTTCATTCCCTTGCGTTTGTTAAACAATAGGAAACTCATCTGGGTTCAATGAAGAATTCTCTCTAAAGCTGAAGGACATGCAACGGGTATAATCCCACCATTATAAGCTAAATTATACTTAATGCAGTGGCTTGTTTTAAACATAATTTCGGCATTAGAGGATCATACAATGATGCAAATGAGAAAAGGGTTGCTATTTGAACCCAAATGTCTGTTGTCAACTACACTCAAAGCCTTTTAGACGGTAAAAGGACTTAATGCTCCAAGTACTTTTATTGAACAGTTAGTCAATAGACCTGAATGCCTTAGAAGGCTTTATTTGAACCATTGAAGCCAGAAACAAAGCCAAGCCATGGTAAATAAATCATGTTAGTACAATATCTATAAACAATCCCTCAATCACAGAGACCCACTCTGCGGATTATGATCACCATTGGGGAGATTTGTGTTTTCTTCTGTTTGGATTTGTCTAAGCATTAAAAACCACTTTTGGCTTTTTTGAGTCAACATGCTGCCCATGGCTATCTGACTTTTTCATTGCAGAAGGTGGCAGTAATGCTGTGCAGACCTTTATTTTATAAACTGGTGCAACTTGTTGAACAGCCCAACAGCTGACTCATCTAAATATCACAAATCCAAATTCATATTTTTTTTCAATTTGAAGACATTCTGGCCCATTCTGTTTCCCAGAGGAGGGATAGATCGCAGATAAAAAAAAGGAAAGGAAAATAGATTTTTCAAAGCTGTGGTCAATGGCTCAGATAATTTATTACGATCTGTGTCACCACAATGCACAGCAGGTTGACATTCCCTACTGCAGTGAAGTCAGCAAGGAGCTTACTTAGACCATCCTTCACAACATACCCATGAAATACCCTCCTTTTTTAGATCTTGTGATTTTACAACTCAATTAAAGAGACAAAACAATCCTTTTTTTATTAAATTAACTTTCCTGAATCACTTCAACTCGTCAGTGCGTGAGTGTGGAAAAGTGGTTCAAATGTTGTTGAAAGGCTAAACGAACAAATATGGGTTGAAGCATAATATTTTCATGGATAAAAACATGTTGTGATTTTGGGTAGAGGTAACATCTATCTGTTTTCAAGACTTTTTGTCTTGAAAGCTTTGCACTATTTGACTTCTTCTTTTTTTTGAAGTTGAAAACAATATTGCACTGCCATCAAATAACGTAATAATATAATATTTGTTGTAGGAATGCACCGAATATTCGGCCGCCGAAAATTATCGGCCGAAAATGGTTAAA